TTGAATCTTTTAAGTTTAGTTTAGTTAGAAAATTAAAACCTCTTCAAATTAAAACGTTAATTAACATTAAAATCATTTTCTAAATTAAAAAATTGGTTAAAATTAAACTTTTTTTTCAATATGCCTTAATTAAGGTTAACTATTTTTTATGAATCAAAATTAACGTTGTCTTTAAAATTAAAAACCCATTTTTTAAATCTTTTTCTTTAAAAACATTAAAATTAAAACATTTTTTCAAATAAAAGTAAAATATTTTTTCAAATAAAATTAAAACATTTTTTTTCAAATAAAATTAAAATATTTTTTCAAATAAAATTAAAACATTCTTTCATTAAAATTAAAACCAATTTCTTTATTAAAATTAAAACAAATTTTTAGTTAACAATTAGAATAGGTTCTCCATTAAAGCATACAAGTAATTATCCTCTTTTCAATAAAAATTAAAAAAAAAATAAGTTCTTGATTTAGCTGTTTCATTTTCGCCTAACCCTCATTAGTTTGTTCGTTGCAGCTCCTCAATGTTTCACTTGTTCGTACTATTTTTGGCATGGATGTAATTTATGCAAGGCCATGATCGCAGTTATATTTATTGTTCGCATTCTTTTTGGGACTTGTAATTTACGCGAGGCTATCGTCGCATTGCACTTATTTCTTTATCGCTTCTTTATTTTCATACTTTCGTCCATGCCGTGTAATAGTTCATCTGTTGCACTGTTGTTACCGTTATTAACCCTCCGTAGGAATTAGGTCTAGCCGTTTGACCGCCGAATCAATAGTCCTAACCCTTGACCGTTTTCAAAACCCTAATAGCCTAGGTGTCCCGCCGAGGACGAAAATGCCCTTTACCCTAGCATTAGGTCAAGGAGTCACCGTACTCTGTTTTAGGGGTTCCCGCCGTGGAATACCTAATCTAACCCTAATTTTAATTCAACATTTCAACGTAGAAATAGGAGTTTCAAAACTCCACGTAAGCTTATCCTTAATACACGTTTGCTTCCCCATTGAAACCTTGACCACAGTCAAGAAGTTTCTAACCTCCCTTTCGAGGGGAACTACAATTACTCTGATTCCACTCCCGTCAGGATATGTAGGCACAAGATGCAACGTCTTGCCGAGTAAACTTAGGACTAACCCTTAGGTCTTTAGGTCACTTTATCCCTTAGCTCAATATATATTCCAAACAGATAATAAAATAAAAAAAGCATACAATAAACAAAAGGTTCCTGTAGAGTACTACAAAAGTTTAGGATGCTAGTATCTTCCCTAAGCTTAACCAACCCCTTACCTAGGTCTCTCCCCGCATTGTGTTTACGATGCAAAAATAGGTTTTCCCTCTTTTGACTTTTTTCCTTCGGATAAATCAAAGAGCGGTTGTGAATCAAAAATTGTGATTCAAACTAATTAATAGTTTGATATCCTATTTCCACCGCAACAATATTTTTCATGTGGCACTTGATTCCTTCTTGAAGAAGAAATATACTTTTCTTATTGCATCAATATTTGTGTCACTGTTAAGTGTTAAGCACATGTCATGCTCTGATACCAATCAAAGGTGTGAAAAGTACACAAGAAGGGGAGGTTGAATTGTGTTTCACGTTTTCTTATTATTTAGCTTCTAATCAGAGTTTCAGAATCAGAATTAATGTTCAGATTCTGAGTTAATTCTTTTGGTAGCGAATACAACAGAAGTAAATAAAATAACAGCAGAAGACACAAAAGATTTATACTGGTTCCTCCCCTAACTGAGAGTAGTTAAGTCCCCTTGCCTCACAAGAGCTTTTCATTATAACCATTTTATGATTGCAATCGCTTATGCTTCTGCATAAGACTTTTACAACTGACCGGACTAACTGTCTGAGACTTTCCTTTACTTAGAGCATATGTCTAAGACTTACCAAAGCTTTGCTCACATCATCTGACTGATTCGCCTGCTCATATGTCTTAAGGTTGAGAATTTCCTTTGCTTAAAGAACATGTCTAAGACTTACCTTTTACTCACACCATCTTACTGAGTTGCTTGCTCATCTGTCTTCTATTTGAGACTTCCCTTTACTTAGAGCACATGTCTAAGACTTCCTTTGCTCATATCCTTTGGCCGAGCCACCTGTTGTTCTGGCCATCTAGATTGAGACTTCCCTTGCTCAATCAAACTAGCTAAATAAGACTTTCACAACTCAAGCACTTAAGCAATGAGACTTACGTGGCTTAAGCATCTTGACTCAAGACTTATTGCTTGAATCCTAATGAGACAACTTTTTGCTCAAGAACATAGAAAGACACTTAATCTAAACTACTTAAGGCTCAACAGAATAAAGAACAAGGTGTACATGATGCAAGCATCAGAGGTACAGGAGATCATCATAACAAAGACCTAAAAGCACTTAATATTTCTAAATATATACTTAGGTAAGAAATCTTAAGGATTTTACAATTACAACCTAAAACATAAAATCTACATATTACATAGAGTTGATAGTTGCTTGATCTTGCTACTCCTTCAATAGAAGAATCCTTGTTGAAATTCAAGCTTGAATCTTCAGCCATATATATAGCCTTTCCAGAAACTAGTTGTTGAGAAGGTGACTTGATCAAGCGTCTTTGCTTTTGCTCCATAGTACAAGAGACGTTGAAGAAGGATGCACAACAGATTTTGAATCCAATGTGTAACACGTTTAACCTTTGAGTCTTCAAGAGGTTCTGTACCAATAGAGCTATTGGGAGAAAACATCCACATAATGTACCAGCTTTTCTTGAGCCTTGCAATCTTGTAGACTCGAGCTGACAGGCTGTTAAGACAATACAACTTGCTTTTAGTAGTACGGATAGTCCACATCTTTATCACCAACTCTGAATGGTACTATATGCTGATATACAATTATTAAGTGTACAAACTCGTTCGAATTTTGAGGCCTTCAGTTCAAAGTCTTCGTCAAACCATACTAGCAATTGTTCTTCAGACTCTGCCACGGAAAGCTAGCAATGAAGCAACTCCAAGTGTATCTTAAGTAAAACAGATTATGACTATTTATGTAAAAGAACAAGAACTTGCATAAATAAAATACACATCAAATAAACCATTGTTCTTTTAATACTTTTGTTATCATCAAAATTAAAAGAGAATACGTCAAGAGCAAATCTTGTTCTAACACGCTCCTTGCTAGAGTCGTTGCTTGAAACCACCAGGACATTAGATGATTCATAACCATCTTGCATAATGACTGCATTACCATTATCCTTTCTACCATGATTGTTTAGACGATCAGGGCATAGTTTTCTTGTATACCCCTCCTTCTTACAATGATACCACTTAATAGTATGGGCATTACCACTATAACAATTCTGTAGAACTTTACCCTTCTTCTTTTTCTCAAACCTACCATCTTTCTTCAAGAATTCCCATTAACGAGCAAACCTTCATCAACAGAAGATGGCTTGTGCTCCTTTCGTTTGTTCAAATCCTTAAAGTACAAGAAAGATTGAACATTTTCAAAGGTCAACGACTCTCTTCCATACAAGAAAGTTTCTTTGAAGTGAGCATGAAACTTAGGTAAATAGCACAACATCAACAACACTTGATCTTCATCATCAATCTTGACCTAGATCTTTTTAAGATCAAGAATTAACTTGTTGATCATATTCAGCTGCTCAGCCAAGGCTTTGTCTTCGCTCATCTTGAATGAATACAAAGTTTGCTTAAGGTAGAGACGATTAACCAACGATTTCATCATGTACAAACCTTCCAGGTTTATCCACATACCAGTGCAGTTTTTTCTTTTGAAACCTGCCGGAGAACCTTATCACCAAGGCTCAACACAAAGGCATTGTGGGGTTTTTCGACTATCGTTGTTTTCTCCTTCTCCGTTAGGAAAACATCCATATTTTCCGATCCTTTTAACGCTTCTAACAAACCTTGTTGAACAAGAAGGGCTAGCATATTCAAGCGCTACAAGCTGAAATCGTTCACATTGGTGAATTTCACAATCTTTGTTGACGACATCTTCTTCTCCACGCTCACCACACCAGCTTGTTGTGAATTGATGTCGTCAAAAACAAACCAAAATATGAGAAAAAGATTTGAGTTTCTTGAACAAACACAAACAACCCTATTAGGTTTTACAAAAGGGAGATAAGAAGGAAGAAGAATAGAGAATTGGTTAAATCTGTTTTTCTATTCACTTTCTCAATAAGGGTTCAAAGATTACGAGTGAATACCAACAATTAACCTCACTCAACAACCTAAGAGAACTAACCTATTTATAGACAACTAAGATAACTTGAATAACAAGCAAACTTAAACAAGTGGGCTTACAAGCAAGACCCAATTCGACATACTAATTTAAATTACAAGTTAACATATTTCGACAGTATACTCGAACAGATTTTGACTATAGCATACACAACTCATATCGAACAATGAAGCTACTTTTGTCGACACTAGAGCTCGATCCAAATATCACAATATAAAATTAAGATATAAAATAAAGTGAATTCTAAAATGAATGCTTAATTAAGTCTCTTATGGATGGACTAAAAAACATTCAACATATGATTTGTTCAATTGTTTAGATTTGTTAAAAGCATAAATGAGAATTTTTAGACACTCTCACATACAATAATCATGTTTATCCTTTTTTTTATAGGTACTAGCACACCTTAAAAAAAATAAAAATAATAGTAATAAAGAGGAAGGAATGATTTTAAATAATAGGAATAATTAAAATTAAAAAAAAAAAAGAATATAAAGATTTTGATAGGATGAAACATGATTAAGAAAGAAAGTATTTTATTTTTGGCCAAAATAATTGAAAGTGTCTGTTTGTAAGAAACCAAAGAACGTGCTTTGATTGGCTATTGCATTTCCTTCCGCATTCGTGGAGGTCACGCACCCTATAAAGATAGCAGAATGACGAGGATACCCTTATCTATTTACTTTGACTAAACTATCCCAAACATATAAATTCCCATTATTCAGTCTTGGGCAATTTCGTAATTAACAACTAATGGGTTCCAAGGCAATGGCAGTGGCGGCAGAGAAGATCGGTACGGCGGTGCGGCGGCAAGCCGTTTCCTTAACCGACGGCGCTGCCTCTAGAATACGCGTCTTGCTGCAGCAGCGTCAGAGACCATTCTTAAAGCTCGGCGTGAAGGCTCGCGGTTGCAACGGCTTATCTTATACCCTAAATTATGCAGGTATGTTAACTGCACCCTCTTTCAAAATTGTGATAATAATTATTTATAGATTCTTATAATGATTTGTATGTGAACGGTTAATTCTGTGTTTTTTGATGTGTTGGTTTGATTAGGTAACTATTTATCTTGTGTTTAAACTTGTTTTTTGAATTTGGTTATTTTGTTACTGATTTTGAATCTGAAATGATGAAATGAAATGTGATTTGAATTTGAAGTTTTTTATTTAGATTTGGTGGTGGTTTGACAGATGAAAAAGGGAAATTTGATGAGTTGGTTGAGGATAAGGGTGTTAAGATATTGATTGATCCCAAGGCTCTTATGCATGTTATTGGAACCAAGATGGATTTCGTTGATGATAAACTCCGGTAAATTTTTTACTTAGTTCTTCTTTATGCCCTCTTGTAATTTTGATTATAAACAGATGATTAGAAGCTCATCCAATCACATTTTATGCTTCTTCCGCCTTCATGATTTGTGTTTTGGTGAAATTGTTTGGTTTGTTTGGTTAGCTTTTATTTGTGTTCTTTGAAATTGAAAAGTATTCGTATAATTTGATTTTGATATGAACGTAGAATGTTAATCCCAATTTGTTGCAAATTTGCAATTTTCCGTGTTCCCCTATTTTGCTGCCCTCACTCCCACTTCCAAATTGTGAATATCTAGTGTTATCGTTTTTATAACTTACTATTATTTAGTGTTTATGAGCTAAATCTGTTGTGCAATGCTTTTATTTTGATGTGCCGTGTTTTAGGCATTATTGATTTGATTGATAATGCAATATTTTCTGTCTCCATTATGCTGAAGATGTATGAATGTATTTTGACTTTTCGGAATGAAAATATGCATTACTAAGAGGGAGGCTATTGAGGAAAAACTCATGAAATGTGGCATGAATATAGCAATCTGTATGATATTGCTTGGTCTTAGGAGTAGCCAGTTATTTGGTTGCAATCCTAATTTTTGCAGGGTTAGTACTTCGCTAAATAAAATTTCGATGCCCAAGAAAACTTAGCGCGAAAGGCACTAATTCGCATTAGTTACTGCTCGATCTGATCTCGGGATTGAATCCCTCATAGGTTTGAGGCTGCTCTTTCCATTTTAGCATATACCCCTTGTACAAAAAGGCTTAGACCTCCCTTGCAGGACCGTCTTTGAGGGTGTGCAAGGTGGACTATATCATAGAGCCTCAAATTTTTCATGGTTAAATTGTGACTAAACAAGAGCTTTAGTTGTTTTGTCATGGTAGAACCGTACCTAACCAATACGGGGTCTCAAAAAACTTAAGATGAACTTTGTTCCCTTGTAAAAAAGGGAATATGTTGAAGAATATGTGGCATGAATATTAGTATGTGGTTACATGTGATGTGCATGATCCTGCTACTTGCTTCTATTTTTTCTTTCGATGCGTTTGTTTAAAATATTATTTCCTGGCAGATCTGAATTCGTTTTCATCAATCCAAACTCCAAAGGCCAATGTGGTTGTGGTGAATCCTTCATGACAACACCAAGTACCGGAGCCGCTAAGCAAGGAAATGGTTGAAATTGTCATTCAACTAGCGTTGATCCTCGTTTACGAAGTCGTCTTTCATGGTTGCATTGTTAAACATGCAAATACCACAATTAGATTTCTGTAATTTTGCTTGCTGAGATCAGAGGAAAATAAAACTTTTAGTATACAAAAATCTTTGAATTTGATGTTGACAAGGTTTACTTCAATATGTAGTAGCATATATTTTTATGACAGTTCTTCATTCATGTAAACAAAATTGTATTATGAATACTGTATAATTTGTAGGTTGAGAAAATCAATAAAATAATTTCCCCTTACTACTTATTTATTGCTAACAATGATTGCACTTTCACTTAATGATGATGGTTGCCGTAGCATTGCTTCTCATGAAATGTGGAAACTGAAAAAAGAAACATGTTGAGATGGTGCAGAATATGTTTCCTTTAATGGGAGTTTTGTAACCAGAAATCTCCAAACAGACCAATTAATTCATAGCAGGAAAGATGTGACCAATAATTCATGGCAGGAAACACGTGTAACTTTTTTTAGATGGGAAAATGGATTCTAGGGAAGAATTAATAAAATCCAAGTGTCGAGAGTGAAGATTTTAATGATTTAGAATAGAATCTATTCCGACGTGGAATCAAAATAGATCGGAGAATCAATAATCACGGTGACTAATGGTGGCCTTGAGTTTTAGTTGCAGGGGAAGAGGGATTGACTTATAAAGTTAGTATTCAAATGTTCAATTAGTGATAAACACTATTTATAATAAGTTGTCCTATAAACACTATTTATAATAAGTTGTCCTTCAAACTTTATCGTTAAACGAACACACCTTTTTTAAGAATCCATCTAGCATGGTAAATAATTTTTTAAACATAACTAGACTTATTACCTAATTTAGCTTTGAGAAAATGAAATCAAACATTGGTATCTCCACCTCTTACACTAAAAATAAAACCATATTTCAACATATTAAGAGCCTTGAGAATTAATTCTCATGTAGATAAGCCATCTTTATTCTTATTTAAGTATATATTACCTTAGAGATATTTCTCTTTCAAAAATGAGATCTAAAGATTATTGTCCCGCTGCGCTAAGCTTCAAACAAATTTTTCTAACAAAGTGGTGTTTTGTAGACAGGATAGAAGAGTCTCTAAACCACCTAACTTTTAAAGAAAAAAAAAAAAAAAAACTCCTAACTTCATTTAAGGTCTATCAAACATATTGAGGAAGCCAACAAATTTGTATACTATTAAAGAAATAAGAACGACCTTGATAAGAGTGACACACCCTGACTTATTCAAGACTCTATGTTTTCAAGAATAAAGTTTTGAAGCTACCTTATCATAGATTTTCAAGAAACTATATTTTCTTGTGAATTTGTGTTTCATTTTGAATCACAAGTATTTTTCTAACCGACTGATAAATATGATACTAGTGAGATGCTCAAGATCATTTCTAGTAATTCGACGGCCACCTTTATAGACGTAAGCTCCTGACTTATCTAGACTCATTTTGAGACCTAAAAAATAACAAAAATATTTAAAATGTTAGCAATGAGTTATGCTTAAGAAGTTTTTTTCCTTCATATACAGTAGTACATCATCCACAAAGAAGAAGTGAGATACTTTAGGACCATAATGATTGATATGTAGAGGTTTACAATGGCTCTCATGAACTTCTTTGTCAATAAAATTACCAATTATTTCCATGCAAAGATAAGGAGATAAAGGGTTTCCTTGTCGAAGGCCACAAAGAGGTTTTAAGTGTTTAGTTATACTCTCATTCCATAATAAAGAGACAATGTTAGTAGAGGAGACATTGTTCATGATCAAAAAGATAATTCGAGAAAGAAATCCAAAGTAATCTAGGATGTCAAGGAAAAAAATCTAAATCCATTATGTTATAGGTCTTATCAAGGTCAAGCTTATAAGTAATGAAGGCTCTAAGATTTGACCAAATTTTGGTAAAACATGATGTTGAACAAGATGTTCTAACATGAATAAATATGTAAAGAACAACATGTCAGACAAGATGTCCTATCTTGAGGACTCGACATTTTGGTCTGATACTGATACATCAGCTTTGTTGCAGATCTGTTTCAAGATTTAAGGTGCAATCAAAACATGGATCAAGGAATGATTGGACAGAGACCTCGAAGCCCATGGACTGCTGAAGATTATAAAAGGAAGACCAAGACCTAGAGCAAACAAGAATTCCTTGTTAAGACTTTTGTAAAGTAAAAATAAGGGTTTAGGGTTTTGAGAGTCATGTGACTTTCTTGTATTGTAAGTCACCCTTTGTATCAGGTTTGATATATTGTGGTAGGCATAGTTTTACATATTCAGAAACCTGTAGGTAATGAATTGTATATTGTTATTGGATGAAACTATTAAGCAAATTCAAGTATGATTGTTAGTTAAGAGTCTTGACTGAATATTGTGTTGAAAGGGATGTCTTTCAATTGAACAGTTTGATACAGTCACCGGAGATTATGACTGTTAGATATCACTGAGGTGATTTAGGAATTGAGTTGGATTTCTCTTATCTAGATGGTGATTTCTAGGTAGAAGTTGCACTGGATAGGGATTAAGTGAGGGGTTATAAACGGGGGAGTTTAACTCTGAATTAATACTACTGATAGTGAATTTCATTCCTGACTTGGTAGCCCCTAGATTTAGGTGTTGTTGTACACCGAGCTGGGTCATCATATCTTGGAGTTATTTTGATCTTTTGAATAAGGAAGGAGATTGTGTGATCAGACCATCCTTTACTGTTGTGTTCAAGGGGATTAGAAGCTAGGATGATAGCCTTATGAATCCGACCTGACAACTACTGATGGTTGATTGATTCTTCTGTTTAGATTCTTCTGCTGCTGATAATGATGCTATTGTTATGCATAGTGCCTTATAAAATGTTCTGACATCTATCCTGACTTGTTGAAGATGGGGTCAGCCTCTCTAGATGCTCATGCCATTGCTAGCTAGGAGTTATGCAAAGGATCAAGCACTGTGATATGTTTTCCTTTGAAGGATCTTCCTATGTTTCTTGGGAGACGGGTCAAACAGGTACCATGAAGGCTAATAGGAGGAAAAGGTTGAGTTGATGGCTTGTTTATCAAATTCACGATCCATGGATTTGGTGAACACTCTATGTCATGTTTAAGGTAGCCCAAGATACTCGAGTTCTCTCTCAAGTCCACTCATAAAGGCACTACTGAATGTGTTTAGAAAAGAAGATGGTCTTCTATGGAAGATTTATGCCTTGAAAAATTCCTTTTTAGGTTGTTGCTAGAGTAAGGAAGGGTGTCTTATGACATTGTGTGACTGAAGAATACAGAGTTGAGATTTAAATCAATTGTTATTTGTGGCCTTAACAAGTATTTAATTGATTATTGTTGCGGTGAGAATCGGATACCAGAGCTATGAGATTAGCTTGGCTCGCAAAAATAAGATATCACCACCGAACTTTTATTTTATCCAAGGGAAGGGAGAAAAGATCGAACAAAAACCCTAAGTAAAAAATACAAAGCAAAAAGTAAGGCCTAAAACTAAGCAAAAAGAGATCAAAGGTACGGGGGTTGGCTATACTAAGGAAAGGTACTAGCACCCTAAGAATCTGCAGTACTCTATAGGAACCTCTTGAAATATTTGTGTTATTGCTAAAAATTGTTTGCTAAGTTAAGGATGGGTAAACTAAAGAGAAAAAGGTGGAAAAAGAAAAAAGGTAGCTCACTAGGATCTCACAATCCTATGCATACGTATCCTATATAGAAAGTCAGAGCAATCGTAGTTCAAAAACTATGATGAAAAATGGTGTAAAAGGAGAAACGAGGGAAAAAAGAAAAGGTTGCTCGCCAAGGATCGGGGCGTTGTGTCTACGTATTCTCAAAAGGATCTTGGAAAATCAGAGCGTCTGTAGTTCGTGGAACTACGAGTTTCCAGGTTCTAATAACCAAGAACAACAAAGACAAGTAAAGAATAAACGAGGGACATGCACAATGACAATAGTCAACATATAATATCTTTCCTTGGATTAGATCAACAAGGCACAGAAATAAAGCAACAGATACATGGAAAAATATCATGTAAATAACAAGCAGACAAGACATAGACACGGTACACAAAAAAGATCACGTATGGTCAGACAGACAAAATAGCACAGAATACATATGGAAAGACATCATAGTAAAAACAAATAGAAAGTACACGGTAAAACATCGTGTAAAATAAACAAAAAGTGCACGGTAAAATACCATGATAAAATAACAGACATTTACGACAAAGTATCGTGAGAGACAAAGAAAAAAATACAATCACGAAAAAACATCGTGATAAAAAATTAACAGTCACGACAAAGCATCGTGACTAAACATCATCAATTAATCAAGACCTGCATCAAAAATTAATCGAGAAAAAGTATCAAAATTTATCAACATGAAATTAAAACCAATAAAACTAATTATGAAAATGTCTAAACAATTATGCAATTCTAAAGTATCAAGACTAAAACAATTCAATTAATTAGAAGAAAAAAATTATCACATTAATCATCTATTTCTAAATTGAAAATATTAAACTAAATAGTCAAAACAAACTATAAGTTTGAACTATTAAAAAGAACATAAAATTGTAAACACATATCAAGTTTTATTAATTAGAAAAATAGATTCTAAAAAAATTTAAATCTAAACAAATAATTTATTACTAATTTAAAATCTAAATGGAGATTAAAAAAAACTAATTAACAAGAATAAGACAAATTTAAAACAATCTAAGAAAGAAAAGGAATAAGAAATTTTTTAAAATAAAAGAAAAGTGAGGTGTGATGAGGGTGTGACTAGCATTTGAAGTGGGTTCGATCCATCGTTTTTAATAATAATAAAAGGAAATTATGAAAGAAAAATGATATTACAAACTATCAGGATTGTTATGTTGACACCATTTTCTACACTCTACACTCAATTCACTGTTCACAAATACTTGACTAAATTCTTCAGAATATGGTTAATAGTGTGTATTTTA